GACCACTCATCACAGTTTTCAAACCCACCACTACATGTACCTGAGGCTTACCTCTGCCGCTAGGCTACTGCATGCCACCAGCCCTGGCTCTCACAGTTTTGTGTGCATAAGCAGCTGATCCTGCCCCTTGGCTCCTGCCCCTACCACTGTGCTTGCAATCACAGATGGCCCTGCAGCTGCCCACATACACACAGAGAGTCTTAATTCCTGTCACCTAACCCTAGCTGGTTCCTGCAATTGAGCATAAGCAAACTTCCAGCCTCCACCATCCCACATGTGCTTTTACAGTCTTCCCCATCTCCTGTTTCTGTCTCCAGCACTTAACCCAGAGCTTGAGCCTACCTTTGGATCTGCTGCCAGAGGCATGTCTGCAGCCAGCCTCTACACCAGAGGATGTGCGTTCCACTGGCTCTGGCCTTTGTTGTTTCTAGCCGTGGCCCTTTGTTGCTGGACACAGAGGCGCAGCAGAGGACTCCAGTAGCCCTTGTAGCCTCTGCAGACTTCCCCCAGCTCTTGTCATCAAGGATCACACAGGTGTCAATGTCACAGACTCTAGCTGAACTCACAAGATTCAGTGTCCCCCTAGATCTCAAGTCACCACACACACCACACTGGGTACCTTGTGCCCTTAGACCCAGTGCCACAGCATGCCCCAGGATGCCTCTGTTTCTCCCTATCCTCTCTCCACACCCACAGGTGAAGGTCTCTCCTTACTGATGGCAGCCCATAAAGTTTGGAAGAGGTAACTTTTTCATCAAATGCACAGACACCTTTGCAAGAATACAAGGATCATAAAGAATTTGGGAAATATGATACCACCAAAGGAACACAATAAACTCTAGTAACTGACCCCAAAGTATTAGAGATACAGGAATTGCTTAACAAATAGTTTAAAATAAATTTATGCTCAGCCTGGGCAAATAGTAAGACCCAGTGTCTACAAAAAATATAAAAATTAGCTGGATATATTGGCACACACTAAACTTCCACCTCCTAGGTTCAAGTGATTCTCCTGCCTCAGCCTTCCAAGTCGCTAGGATTACAGGCATCTGCCATGCCCCACTAATTTTTGTATTTTTAGTAGAAATGGAGTTTTACCATGTTGGCCAGGCTGGTCTCAAACTCCTGACCTTAAGTGATCTGCCCACCTTGGCCTCCCAAAGTGCTGGGGTTACAGGCATGAGCCATCGCACCAAGCTGACATACCTAGTTTTTAACATAGTACCTTGACATAATAGGTAGTTGCTGAATATTGTTGAAAGGAAAATGTCCAATTATAAGCTTACTTTAATGCTAGTTATGAGTTCCAAATTTTTGCCTTAAACAGTTTAGTTATCATCTCCTCCAGGAAGTTTTTTCCTGATTCCTGTCTCCCATGATTTAGGTGCTCTCTTCTGAATTTACGTGTCATAGCACTAATCACTCTGTTTATAATATATGATGCTCCTTGAGAGAGGATAGGCTGTATCTTTCACACAGGCCCAGTGTGGCGCTTGCCAGGGATTTGTAAATGTTTGTCAAATGTTAAAGGAAATAAATGAATGCACTAAACAGCCCAAAATAGAATCACTAATTTTTTTAGCTGTTTGTTTGTTTTGAGACAAAATTTCACTCTTGTTGCTCAGGCTGGAGTGCAGTGGTGCAATCTTGGCTTACTGCAACCTCCACCTTCAAGTTCAAGCTCTTCTCCTGCCTTAGCCTCCCGAATAACTGGGATTACAGGCATGCGCCACCACATCTGGCTAGTTTTGTATTTTTAGTCGAAACTGGGTTTCACCATGTTGGTCAGGCTGGTCTCAAACTCCCAACCTCAGGTGATCTGCCCACCTTGGCCTCCCAAAGTTCTGGGATTACATGTGTGAGCCACTGCGCCAGGCAGCTGTTTTTAAAATTATGATTAAATATGTTTTCTGAATTTAAATAATTTTAGGGCAGTCATGACAGATACCAAGAGATTATCTATTCTCATCAGCAAACACTAATGAAAAAAAGATTGTTTATCTTATTTTTTTAAAAAAGCTTTTTCTAACCTGTTAGATGTCTGATAGGAAAATATGAGGAGACTAGGAGTTCCTTATACATAATTAAGTAGCTCATTCTTGCAGATATTTCAATAATTCATATTTGAAATATACTTTTTTTCAACAAAATTGGCTTTTAGATACTTCCCTTTGAAGATGTTGTGGTTATAGGATTTTGTTTTTAGGGATTTTAAGAGGTTTTGAGTCTATACTTTGTGAAGGGAAAATGAATAATGGAGACACATGGAGAATATTAAAATCAGTATCTTAGTATGAAGTAAGGTCCTGTTGTTATAGAAGGAGCTAATTTATTGAACTGGATTTGGAGGATAGATGTGGGATGGCAAGGTCAAAGGGGTGAGAATAGAAAGAAGGACATACAGAACATTTCTTTTTTCTCCCATGTCTCCCACCCGTTGTTCTTAACTGATTCTTCTCAAAGGAAGGGGTGAGGACTAGGCAAGCTTAAGCAAAGACTGAAATGATACAGGATGTGAGATTTGTCGTACTGGTCCTTTGTTTCTTTTCACTTGCCTGTGAACCTGGCTAAGCACTGTAAAGGAACATGTAGTGTACCTTGTCAATGTTGAGCCTTTACCTGTTTAAGACTAAGCCTCAAATTTAAAGGGGACTTCATGCTCCAGGTATTTGACTACCCGAAACACAGAGGGAACTCAAGCACTGTTTTCCTAGTAAATGTGTTGTTCTGTGGAGGAGGCTTCTTCACTGCTCTGAAGTGAGAAGGGATTGTGAGTTTTTAAGCTGTTAACTAGCTTAGACCATGAGGACATCTTAAATCTACGAACAAAATTAAGGGAAGAGAAGCAATGTTTCTGTGACAAATAGTGTTAGAATTCAGATAGCAGGTAAATGATTGAGGGAATGATCATTTATTCAGCCAACAAGTGTATCTTCATTATCTTGTCTATTCAAAGCTTTAGAAAGATTGTCTTAAAGTTGAGAGGGAAATATTATGGTTATAATTCTCTGCAGTAATGCTTGAGTATGCCTGAGGAGGAAGTGCTGAGCACACTAGAGAAATAATGAGAAATATCTTGACTTCCTCATTTGGAACTTTTAGAATCACTAGATCAGCAGTTTTAAAGTGTTTCACAGGGTCCTGAGATCCTTTGGAGATACTCAGGGTGTCAACAGATATATGAAAGAAAAGGCCAACTCCAAGAGCGTTAAGTTCCCCATTGACCTCTCCCTGAATCAACCAGAGTAGTCCTACTTTTATGTATTGTAATTTTTTGTAATATTTTGTTTAGGCCTAGGGGAAGGAGGTAACCCTGTGAAAAAAAGTTAGAAAACCACCAATGACAGATTTTTAAGATCCTTCCAGCTTTAAAAATCTGTGATTTGACGACTGTCTGACCTCTGACATTACCTCTAGCTAAATTTTTATGAGTCTTTTTGTTTGTTTCTTTGTCTTTTTTGAGGCAGGGTCTCACTGTCACTCAGGCTAGAGTGCAGTGGCACAAACAAGGCTCACTGCAGCCTTGACCTCCTGGGCTCAAGCAATTCTTCTACCTCAGCCTCCCAAGTATCTGGGACCATAGGCGTACATCATCATGCCAGGCTTTTTGTGTTTTTTTTTTTCCCCAGACAGAGTTTCTTGTCATTCAGGCTGGACCGCAATGGCATGTTCTCAAATCATTGCAACCTTCGCCTCTCGGTTCAAGTGATTTTCCTGCCTCAGCCTCCCAAGTGGCTGGGATTACAGGCACCTGCCACCACTCCTGGCTAATTTTTTTTTTTTTTTTTGTATTTTTAGTAGAGATAGGATTTCACCATCTTGGCCAGGCTGGTCTCGAACTCCTGACCTCAGGTGATCCATCCGCCTCGGTCTCCCAAAGTGCTGGGATTACAGGTATGAGCCACTATGCCCAATCTTTTTTTTTTTTTTTTTTTTTTGGTAGAGAGGAGATCTGGCCATGTTGCCCAGGCTAATTTTATGAGTCTTAGATTTTGTTTCTATTAATGCTTTTCTGGCAAAATATTTACCTGTATGTTAGGTTTTTCTGCATAGACTGAAGGATCAGTTAGTTTCCACATTTTATAATTTAAGTACATAGTGCCACATTTGAAAAGATAGAAATTTTATTTACTAAATAGTATTTACAGAGTTTATTTATTGAACATAGTATGGACAAACATGTAGCCAGATACCTTGCTTGGACCCTCTTCTTACTTAAGGCATGAATATTCAGCAGTACTTACAACCCAGTCCAAAAGTTTTAAATCTCAGTATTTCAGAATCACATTCTAGCCTAGAGAATAACAGCCTAGTTCTTTGAAGCTGATGTTTTTAATACCTTTTCAACTGATGTTGCTGAAAACAAACTAAATAGAGCATATTTATAATGCTCAGCAGGTAGTAATTCTCAATAAATTTTTACTGAATTAAAACATTCAATTCATATGTAAAACATTATTATTACATCTCATCTTCAGTTTACAAAGAGCTTTCATACATTATTTCATGTTATAATCCATAACAATATGAGGATAGTATACCATATTTCACTAAGAGAAACCTGAGAACCATGGCAGTGAGGGAGTAGAAAGTTTAAAAATGCTACCATTGCTTCTACCTGCCAAATATAAATTAGTGTGAGCTTTTTGAGATACTCATAGCTTACTTCATCTCTGACTTCTCCGGTTGTACCCATTTTCTCACTTATTTTGTACTTAATTGTGTACTATACGCTGGGGAAAAAACAGACCAAAAATTCCTGTATTTAGTTTGTAAGCATTTTTCATTTTCCCTCAGTCTCCAACCTTTGGTCTACAGGTATTACAGCAAGTTTAGAAAGTATGTAAGCCTTAAAAGGAAAAATTGGTAAGCTTTACTCTAGCAAATGACTTTATTTGATAAAAATTTTATAACACTTATGTCCTGTTATTATATAATTTATTTTTAGAATTTGATATGCCAAAATCAACATCAAACTAATGAGGACTTTTCTTAAATAGCAAAGCACCGATGTTCATATGGTTAGTGATAGCGATGGAGATGACTTTGAAGATGCTACAGAATTTGGGGTGGATGATGGAGAAGTATTTGGCATGGCATCATCTGCCTTGAGAAAATCTCCAATGAGTAAGTATTAATAGCTCTTTGGGTCCAGCAATAGAATTCTTTCGTCTAGTACACAAACTTATGAAGAACATTAAACTTAAAAATCTCTTACTGACCTCCAGGTTTGGGAAGATAAGATAACAGAGAATAGGCATTCTTCATTAGAACCACAGCCTTTTGAATTTTGATTTTATTAAGCTGAAAAATTCCCAGTGCATTAGGAAAATTCATTTAAAAATGCAAGGGAGTGTAACTTTTGTTTTGTATGTATAATTAATTACGACTGTCTCTCTTTAAAGTTAGAGATTGATTAACAAACCAGGTGTACTTTTTGTGACTGATAATGTTTTACCACATCTTATTAGAGATGCCAGTTTTAAGATTAGTAATGTCACTTTTCCATTCAATGGTACCCATCTTTGAAAGGAAAACAGTAAACTAAATGTGCCAGCTCTTTGACTTCCACTTACAAAATGCATACAATAGAATAACAAGCAATGCTATGTGCAAAATGGCCACTAAAATAATAATGGCCTGTTTGCTTTGTGAAATTGGAGAACTCCTGTGGGCATAAATAGATGTGATGTTACATAAAATTGGCTATTTTCTCAATGAGGTCTTTAAAATAATATCAGATTCATTTAATATAATTTAGTCACAAGATGTCTATTTAGAGAAAACACTGAAATCCTAAATGACAACTGGGCACATATTTTAAATGCTTAACAGGATTGTGTCTGTTGGTTTTTCAAAATTTATGAGCTTGGAATATTTTAAGATTCTTTTTGATTCTGATTTGATGAGATGTAATATATGTTGAGTTAAACTGTCCCCTCAGATACATCACAGAAGCTAAAATTTAATTTTATTTCCTCTTTATTGATTAAATATATTTCTTATCTGTGGGACTAGATGTTATGTGGTTTGTTTTCTGTGTCTATTTGTTTTGTTTTTTTTGTTTTTGTTTTTTCTTTTGTTTGTTTTTTAGTGCCAGAAAACGCAGAAAATGAAGGAGATGCCTTATTACAATTTACAGCAGAGTTTTCTTCAAGGTAGGGTTAGGACATTAACTATATAAAATTGATGCTCTTTTATACTACTGTAATTTTTTTCTTTGGCAATTTTAATTATAGATTGTTTAAAATTTCTCCTTAAAGTATTCAAAGGACATACTTGTTAATTTATGTTGTCCTAATAGTGAAACACATACTGTTCAATGTGAAACAACTAGTAAACCATTAATGCCAGTTCAGAGATAGATTCAATTTATTTCTCTATCTTTATAGACATTCAATAAACGGATCCTAATTTAATATTTTTATTATATTCCGGAAGGACCAGGATATAGTATACTAATTTTTAGTATATCCTAGGACAGTCACATGGAAAATCCTTTAAAACAATATTAAATTTTAAAATAAACATTTTAAATCCAACTGAATTTTTTCTTTTGGAATTGTTTTACATTTCTTCCTTTAGTGTCAAATATAACATGTTTTGTATGAATTTGAGAGTCTGCTGTGGTGTTCAAATATAAAGAGAATTAATGTTTAATCCTCAATTTGGTATAAATGATTTTTTTAGTGATATTTTCTGTTGAAATGTAATATGGAAACTTTTAAAAGAAAGTTTTTCCCTCTGTATTGGAATTCTGGAATAAATGGACTAAAATGAGAAAATAAGGCTAATGTAACTAGAAAAATCATATGAAAGTGAGTAATAAAGAACTTTTTATAAATGGCATGGTTTCATAGCACTTATTAATTCATTTGCTAGGCATACTTAAAACTCCAGTATTCTAGTGTATCAGTACAGGCCAAAAATAATTCTGAAAACCAATGAAGTTCATTTCTCAGCTTTTAAAGAAATGTTTTTATGTTTAGTATGCATTAAACATTAGCCCCAATATTTACTTAAAAGTCATTGATTAGACTTGTGAAACTTTGAAGTGAATTTGAAATGTATTTTAATTAATAGAGTTAATTTTTTCTATAGATATGGTGATTGCCATCCTGTATTTTTTATTGGCTCATTAGAAGCTGCTTTTCAAGAGGCCTTCTATGTGAAAGCCCGAGATGTAAGTACAGTTTGACCTTGTCTGATTAAAAAGTGCATCCTACAAGTTTACTACTAGGTCTGAGGCAATGATTAAATGTTTTCTGTTGGTTTTTGTTTGTTTGTTTGTTTTTGTTTTTTTGTTTTGTTTTGTTTTTCAAAAAGCATGGAACTCTTCATGAATATGAATTTGTGTGTGATCATTGTGCAGGGGCCATGCTAATCTTCTCTGTATAAGTCCAGTTTTAGTATATGTGCTGCTGAAACAAAATGAAAAGCGTTTTCTCTTTTCATTTTGAGATTGGAGACTTCGTTTGTTTCTGGTTCATCGGCTAACCAAGTCTTCAACAGGATGCCCATTTCACAAGGGACATTAATGTGATTGGGGTATACTGCTGGCTCTTGCAGAAGGCCTTGTGAAGCATTGAAACTGTTTTCTTAATGGGAAAAAAGGTGGACATGCTTAGAAGGCACGAGGCTACATGTTTGTAATCTTTTCAGTTATGCAACTGACTAGTTCTTGATAGATTTGTTCTTTAGTCTTTTCCCAAAATGATTAGTCTGTGTAGTGATATATATCTAGCAATTGCAATATTTTTCCCCTAGAAGTCACTTTGGGCCAAAAAAAAAAAAAAGATTTTGAACATAGAAATGAACTTTGTGATCTTCAAGTCTATAACAAGAAGTCCATAACAAAAACTTAGAAGATAAATTTTGGCCTGGCGCAGTGGCTCAAGCCTGTAATCCCAGCACTTTGGGAGGACGAGGCGGGCGGATCACAAGGTCAAGAGATCGAGACCATCCTGGTCAACATGGTGAAACCCCGTCTCTACTAAAAATACAAAAAATTAGCTGGGCATGGTGGCGCATGCCTGTAATCCCAGCTACTCAGGAGGCTGAGGCAGGAGAATTGCCTGAACCCAGGGGGCGGAGGTTGCGGTGAGCCAAGATCGCGCCATTGCACTCCAGCCTGGGTAACAAGAGCGAAACTCCGTCTCACAAAAAAAAAAAAAAAAAAAAAAAAAAAAAGAAGATAAATTTTAAGCAAGAAGATTCTAATCACTGTTTGTAGGTTGACACAGCAGTCAAGACGTCAATAATCTGGCTCCTGCCTATCTATGTAGCTTCAGCTCTTCCCATTCCCTGCCTCACACTTAATACATCTGGCAATAGTGTACCATTTGTGTTTCCCCAGAATCTTAAGTTTTTTCATGCTTCTCCACTGCTAGAAATGCCTTTCATTCTGCTCTTTACCTGGATGACTCCTCCTCCTCCTCCTCTGAAACTTACCTTTTCTGGCTTCTCCCCTTCTCTCACATTGGTGGCACCTACCGCTTTAGCACTTCCTAGTGAAAAACTCTCTACTTATCTCTTATTGTTACACTTAACATAGTGTTTATAATTATCCATTCTACATGTGTCTTCCCAGGAGTTTTGATTTTCTTTTGGCAGGGACTACATTCTTTATGTCTCTGTATTTAGTAAAAATTCATTAAGCGTTTAATGAATGAAGGAATAAAGAAAGGGAAGAAGGAAGGAGTAGTGTGTGTATGGGGTAGAGGGGAAAGCTATTGGAATTAAAGAGGGCAAGGAGTTTTGAGAACAGACTGCAAGGATGCCTCTGAGAGTTCTGTATTCTAGATTATGTTAAATTCTGATACAAAGAAAAATCATTTAAAAATAAATTTTAAAAATCAAATTCCATGATGATTAATAATCAAATTAGAGCTATAATTGGTAGTCTAATGAATTTAGAGTAGGAAACTTTTCTTTACCCTACGAATATCAGAATAGCCCTTTTAAAAGCTGTTTTAAGCAATTATGTTTCAACTTGTAAATCTATATAAAATTGATGTTTTTAAAGAAATGCATATTTATGATAATATATATTTGTAGTGTTCTTAAATATAGGTTTATGGAAAATATTGGGCTGGACGTGATGGCTCATGCCTGTAATCCCAGCACTTTGGGAAGCTGCAGCAGGTGGATCACTTGAGCTCAGGAGTTCAGGACCAGCCTGGGCAACGTGGTGAAACCCCATCTTTACAAAACAATTACAAAAATTAGCCAGGCATGGTGGCGCATGCCTGTAACCCCAGCTTTCTTAATTATAACTTCTTTTATGTTATTTTAACTTTTTATTATAAAAAATATTTAAATTTTAATACAGAAAAAGTAGAAAGAATATTAAAATAAATAGCCAAATCTCTATACCTACATTTAATAATTATGAAAATTTTGCCATATTTGCATCTTTCATATATAGGCATCTCAAAATTTTAATGGAGCCTTAAGGCCTAAATGACTTAAAAGGATTAACTGCTACAGATGGACAAGAAAGCAACATTTGAAATTTAATTATTTATATGTTTATACTTACTTGGATTTGTGATTTTGCTGAATAAATTTTTATGATAAATTTTTGTTTCAGTTTTTCTCTGATTGAAAATGGCAAATGTTGACTGGAACAGAGAACAAATTAAAAATTTATTCAAAATTCACAAAAACAAACAAGTATAAAAAATATAAATAATTAAAACTTTAAATAATTTTTTAATAGTTTATAGCAGTTAAGCTTTTGAATTTTTGAAACTTAAACTGAACAGAAACATTTAGGGTATCCTGTATTTTCATTGTTTTTTGCTAAGCCATTTCAAAATAAATCATAGATGTCATCCTTTACCCCTAAAAACTTATGCATTTTCCAAAAATAATGATACTCTCCTACATAATCACCATATTATTTTCACATATAACAAAATAAATAATTCCTTAATATTATCTAATATTCAGTGCATATTCAGACTTCACCGGTCATCCCCAGAATTTCTTTTTAGCTGTTGTTTTGGAACCACAGTCCACCCAGGATCACAAGTTATGTTTGAGTATTAGATATTTTAAATACCTTTTAAGCAAGTACCATCTCTCCCCATTTTTTTCCTCTGGCATTTTCTTTGTGAAGAAATCAGACCAGATGACTTGTAGATTGTTCCAAATTCTGGAATTGTGTGATTGTTTCCTTGTGATATTATTTAACCCTCTATCTCTGGTTTCCTGAAAAATGGATATTAGGTCTAAAAGCTTTGTTAGATTCAGGTGAAATGCTTTGTAAAATAATGCTGAATATTTTATTTTAACAGGATTTTTAGTGGTTATGGAGTCTTTCATTGTATGGCCATGTTGTTATATTTAAATAATCACTTATTAGACATATATATGTTTGAAAGAATATCTGTAGTATTAAAATAATGTAGTTTTCAACTTATTCTTTGATAATAGTGCATTTGGGATATATCTTTCTCTGCTTTCCAGCAAGATTGCAAAACAGTCGAAGTAAACCGGAAAATGTCATGGCCTTTATAACATAAACCGTAGCTCCCAAAATAGGTATAGATAATCTTAAAAACACATTCCAAAGCTTCTGTAAGATATACTAGGTATACCTCAAGCATTTTAGCTCTAAATGCAGATAACTTGCACTTAAAAATACAGTATATCATAGACAAAAGAACTTTTACTGTCTTGTACAGTAAATTGGCATTTGGATTTATTCAGACTGATAATCCCCTGAGGAATATAAGCTCTTGTTTATTAACTCCTGGATATTTCTAATGAATCAATTGATTGTTTGCTTTTCTTAGTGTCTGGATGTTTTAACAGATGAAAAATTATTGGTTTATGTAATTAAATATTTTGCTTCATGTTAGATTCATAACCAAAATCCACTGTCCTCTCTGGACTGATAAAACTGTCCTTATCTTTATTCCTTTGTCCAAGGCTTTTTTCTTTTCTTATTTCTCTTTTCCAAGTTACAGATCAACACTTTATTTACAGTTTATTATATTTCTATAAACTTAAGTAAAGTTTAACTTCATGACAGATAAGTAACTGAGAATTAAATCTAAATAGGTACATTTATTATGGTCATCAAGCAGATTATATAGATCTTCTTTTAATTGTGTAAGTATAGTAATTGTAATGTTACTTAAGAATTATATGATGCTCTGTGGTTTATAAAACATGTTCCTATATGTATCTCATTTGAACCCCACAACCAATCAGTGAAATAGGGATATAGAATACTCATATTCCCATTTTAGAGATGCTAAAGCCCAAAAAAGCTATATAACTTGCCTACAACACACTAATAGTAAGTAGTAGGGACCAAATAAGAGCTCACATGTTCCAACACAGGTTGGAACATAGTGTATATGGCTTACACTATCCCACCACACTTGAGTTTTCATTCCTAATGATCAAATTTCATCTCTCCTTTTCATATTTCACACTAGAGAGTTAAAACAAATCTTGTTCAAGATTATTTTTTAAAACTTTGGAATGAATCAGTTTTCAGAAAACAGTTTGCTGATGTTCAAACATTTTAAGGCAAATGTGACAGATACTGTGGCACTCTTACATTTTCATCTTAAATATCACGTTTAATTTAAACTGTGGGAGGCACATTAATTTTACCAGGGCAACAGATGAGCCTCCAGCACCAGCATTCCTCACTTGAAGTGAGAAATTGAGTTCCAAGAGTAAATAAAAACAAGATTGAAGGTTTAAATCCTCTGCTAGGCTTTTTGAACTTATATACTCATTAAATGTTTATTGGAGTGGTGGGATTACAAAGGATTTGGGGAGCTTCATCAACTGGTATATAGTTAATCACTAAGTAAAACACTACATTTGATAAAGTGTTTCTCACGATGCCACGTTCAATCCATCTTAATGAAAACTGCTTCAAACTGATTTCATTTGAGAGCATTTGGTGGTGAGAGTGCTCCTAGTTCTTTTTGCCTTTTTTCTTGAGGAATTTACAATACTGTACCAAGCAGAGCCTCCAACTTTGGTAAAGCAGTTATTCTAAGTCTTTATGTTTCTTTTAAGTATCTTGTGACCAAGTTTTGACTTCTGATAATATACTGATCTGTTTTATGACTTCCTTCCTTGCCCTTATCTATGAAGGACACTCATCCAGTTGAGGGTTATAAATGTTTGTTACATGTCCTCTAAGGATCT